TGAGAGGTATTGGAAATACCCTGGCACATTTGTTGCATGATCAGGGATCATTCAGGAAGCAGATCAAGTATTAGGGTGCTATTTGCTCACTGATTTTCTTGGAAGACTACCAAGCTCAGGAAGATAAAACAAGTGTTTGGGATTTAATCCTACCCTGGAACACATAAAAAACCTTTTCCTCATTCCATCAGTGCTCTTTCCCCACACGAAGGTATGGTGACAGCACAAGCTGACACCTGTTCTACAGGAACAGAGGCACACATGGAAAAGTACCTCAGGGTGGGGATGGTCCCTTCTGAACTCTTCCTCTGCCAGGGAGGCTTTGAGTGATGTCCTGCTCCTCTGCTGATTACCCACCTCACCCCACAGCTCCCTCACACTCACTGGACTTGTGTACATGACTTCAAACCGTGCAGCCCCTCTTATTTCTGCAATTCTCTTTCTACAATGTTCTTCATCAGAGTCTAGTTTATAAGTAGAGCAGCAGTGGAACACAAATCTGAGAAGGAACTGCAATATCGTCCTACTGTAAAATTACTAAAAAGTCAGAATTTAAGCCTTTCAGACTTGGTCCTTTCTTCACATGTAAGATTTTGGTGAAATCCTTTGTATGAACTCATTTTTCTGCTTCCTACAAACACCAGTCTTGAAGCCTATCCTTCCTTCTCCTCCCCTAAATTTTAAACACCTTGTTGTTGAAACAAACAAAAAAGTTAGTAATTTTTCCAAGACAAACAGCCCATCTGTTTATTCCAGTCAATGTTGAAGGGTTAAAGAATGAAGCTGTAGCTTCATTCATTAATTTTCTATGAAGCTGTAGCTAATGCTGTCACTTACAACATCTGTACCCTAAACACCTGGCCTCCAAACATCAAGAAGCAGGAGGTATAAAGTGTGCACCTAAAGCAGCATGCTATCTCCTAATTTTGCCATGCAAAAAATAATAAAATAAAATTTTCAGATGTTATACACCATCAATGCATGCAGCAAGTGCTAGAAGAACACAATAAACAGTAACATTATACAAATCAGCTGTAATACCAAACATATTGCTTTACTATAATACAAGCCCTTACATCATTACAAAATCTTTTAGGCACAGTCTTACTACCAGCAAATTCACAAGGCTCACTTAATGAAAATTATAGCAAAGAACACAGCTTGGCTTTTAATTCAAGGATAAAATTTATCTCTTTAGTCTGTAATTGAGAAAAATATCATTAAGCTCTGCACTTAACATCTCCTTCACATTCCTGCACTAATAATTTTAACTGTCCCATCATTCGGCCCAGGCATAACTGGTGGCCACATTCAGTCCAATAGGTGTACCAGTTCAGACAAGCTCTCTCTATTTCAGCACACCATCTCTGCAGTGAATGGCCAGGAGAGCAGGTAAGATCAGTGTTAGTATGCAAGGGATACCTCCTCAGAATGCTGGGGTTTAAAGCCAGGTAGTGTCTTTGAATTTGGAAGAAAATACAGATTAGACAATCTACCTCCTTCTAGATGAATACCTCTTTCTGTGGACAGACAATTTAACAGGTACAAAGCATTTACATTCTGATACAAAGTTTCATTTTTAATGATGTATAAAACTGTCTGCAATTATGGGCACCCCACTGTTAACCTGTACATGTTTTCAGTAAAATTCATTATGTTGGCTGTAAAAATATGCCTTGTGTTTACAACAAAGGCTTTCAGAATTGTATGAGTAAGAAGCTGAAGGGAACCAGTGAGAGCTTTCATAATTTGGATATTAAGTTATGCATAAAAATCACATCCTCCTTGATTCAAGCCTTAAAGGCAATCTCTGCAAATCGTGTTAGAAGGCCCATTTCATAATAGTAGAACAGAGCTTTTTTGACTACTGTTACCTATTTACAAAGGTACCACAGGCTCCTGTAGATCCTCACAGACTACATAACAGTGTTGCCTCTCTTACAATATCTTATATATATATATATCAAAGAAACCCCGAACCAAACAAAACACCAAGCCTAACACCACCTTGCTAGGTTTCTTCTAACTCTCTAGGCAGGTACAACATGACAAATCCACCATAAAACAGCAAACTGGATAATCTTTCCTTCTTTGTACTTGAAACTTGAAGGCAAAGAAGAGCAGAAGAAATGGGGTAACATGAACTGACATGTTTTAATAACAAGACAGCTTGCACTCTGGAGCTAGGGAACCACAGAGCATGAGTTTTGTGGAGGTCTGAATGACTTACCACAGAAATCAGATTTTTTTTTCCATCTGCTTTCTGCATGACCTTTGGATGGGAGCAAGTGAGTAAATAAAGACTATCAAAATCCCTATTTACCCGGACAAGAGTTTAGGAATAGCAAACATCAACTATACACAAGTTTCTACAATCACACTGTGTCTTGGACAAGAAACATATCCTTTAATTCTTGCCAAAGACAGATGTAAATCTCAGGTAGAAAGTTCTAATACAGATGGAATGAATTGCAATACATGTAATTTCTTTTTTGTCTAATGTATCCAGTCAAGAATGCATGTATTATATATCTTCAGGGCTTTGTAGCTTTCCTGTTTATTTTAATAACAGTAGCTTCATGCCTAGAGCTCCATGTACTGAGATAAAAAGATCAAGGCAGCTACACGAAAACCCACTGTGCATCATGTGAATCATAGTACTGTCTGTACTTGGTCTGTTATCGTATTCACCATTCAGATATGTATAGCAGTAGCAGCCCACTGTAATATCAGCATATGAGCTGTCTGTAGAGGCAGAGGTGCAGGTGAACACAAACTAAGACATCAGCCATTTATTCAAGTTCCTGCTGTAGCCATTTTTCCATCATTTAAATGAACACAAGGCTACTGTCCTTCACTGATCACAAATAAACATGGTGTATAGAAGACAGAGTCAGAAAGGAAGGAGAAGAGCACAACAAAGATGGGGAAAATACAGATACATAAACCATAGGTACAACGTTTACCCAGGACGTTTTAACTTCCATTACAGCTAGTACCAGTCACCAAGAGAGAAAGGTCTAATAGAAGCATAGATATTACAGAGAGCTGTTTGAGAAATTAACAATTAGGGATGAACAACTATCAACTACATCTCAGAGTACTTAGGCATCTTCTTCCCTAGAGAGGTGGAATATGATGTTTCTGCGAGGCTTCTGTGTTTCACTGAAAACCTGGTGTTTTACCCAAGATCACTGCTGAACCTCATCCAGCCCTTCTTGGTGACTGGCTAAGGTTCACTAACACAAGCAGCTCAAACTGCAAAGATGAAGATGAGCAGCAAGCAAATGATGATAAGCAGCCTGGGAAAGCTAGGAGTTTTATGATCTTCTCTGCTATATCTGCAGTCAAAAAGGGGCCTATTTCTAACGCACCTGTAGCACGGGAGTACAAATGTGAACTAAGGACTAAAGAAAGCTTGTTAGGAAAGAAAACCCACCTAAGCAATGACATCGCACGGTCATAGACTCCTTTCAATATCTCCCATGTTAAAACATCAGAAAGAAAAGGTATTTCTCACAGCAAAAGTCTTACTCAGGCAATGCATGAAGGAAACACGAATAAGTAATTTCAAAGCAGCAATGTAAATACTACCTGCTCCAAATACTGACTCCAATATCAATTCTTTGAGACACTCCATGATCTATGTTATCTTGAAAAGTCTTGAAAATTAAATGTTGAGGGGATAGAAAGCAGTAATCACCATCAGTACAACCACAGCCAGAAACTGACCAAAAGTAACCCAGGCTTTTATGCTGAATTTATAAACTCCACTTATGCTGAAATGCCAATATAGAATTTCTAAGCAATACTTTGAAAAAAGTAACACAGAAATAATGAAATTTAACTATTTTCATTTTAAGGAGAAATGCATATGACATTTCTTTTGCCAGAACCTCCCAGTCACAAACCTACTGTCCTCTAGTATGGCAGGGTACAGCACTTGCTTAACTCTCATGTATTTACTATGCTTCCCTCTACATTGTTGTCTCCCTCAATAGCCGACTGATTTATTCCACTTATATAATTTTCCCATTCTATACCTCAGTGTCTCCTCTCTCTATACAATTAACTCCAAAAACTGTTAACTCTTATTCTGCCAAGCATATCCTATCCTTAAATAAACAAGCATATAAAGGATATGTCATAGTAAATGGTGTATCAAAAAAATGGGCAAAAGGAACAGAGAAGCACTTCGGTTAAACTGGGACATGACAGACTGCAGATTCAATTTCCTACAAAATGACCTTAATCAAATGATTGGGATTTCATAGCACAACTAAATTAGCAGTTCTCAGTAAAGCCCATAAGGATTACACATCTAAGACATTCCAGTAACTGCCAAATGTATGCCACTTCTAAAGTATTTATTAAGAATTTGCATAACATCTGATATGGCTTTAATTTCAAATTTATTAAAAACATACACAATCATGTTACACTAAAACATATCCAAAATTATGAGAAATAACAGCTTGACTGTGGTTTCCAGTGAAAAAGGAGAAAGTTTCTCATGACTTGTTTTCTTTTAGGCAAGGAAGGAAAATAACCTAATTCATCTAACCTAAACAAACAGTATCACCTTGGCTAAATACAAGTAAAACAACTTCTGCCAATGTTGCCTTACCAATAAATTTTTGTCATTTTCTACTCACCCCACTTCCCTCCTAAATCAATCATCATCTGTTTAATCTCAGCTGAGATCTCCATATTTCACCTACTGCAAAGATGAATGTTGGGTATAAACACAGCTCTCGGAGGGAAGGCAATCACTGCTGCAGGGTAACAGGAAAAATGTCTCTACATGGTTGCAATCGTTAGCCCTTCACCACTCATTCAGAGCAAAGCAGCAGAAAAGTTCAGGTCATTTCCTGGCTGGCACAGCAAGTTACAGCAAGATACACATTCTATTAATTTTTAATTGCATTGCTTGCGGACTGAAAGCCCGAATGGGGAATGTTTCTTTTTAAAGCGTAAAGAAGGGCACTGAAACTGCTTACCTCACTCAGCTCTGCAGGGGACTCATTTCCATATTTCATAGCAACTCCAGAATTCATGATTAGACTTCTCAGGGCTTGACGATTTCTGCAGATTGTAATGCTTCAAAGCTTTGTTCAACTGATTCAATACTTTCTTCTCCAAAATTTTTCTCTCTTATATATTTTGCTCTAGACAGCCATTTTCACTCCAACTTGGGAGTTTAAGTTAATGATGCAAGATCTTCTGGAAGAGCCAAACTGGTTTTGACTTCACAGACAATCCATTGCTTAGAGAGACTTGTTAATAATGTGAAGTGCTCAGAGAATGCAGGGAATGAAGTGCTTACCAGGATCCCAGGGCTGTCTTAGTCCATCTACAAGGCATGCTTCATCTCTGCTGTCTGCTTTATGCTGCTCTTTTCTACAACTCCGTTAAAGGGCATCTCTCAATGCTGCTGAACATGCTCAGAAAAATCTGACGAGCTTCACACAAGTTCACAGAGAAATTAAAAGGAGAGTGCTGCTACAGTTCTCAGTATTAGGGGAGGCAGAAAGAAAAAGAGAAGAAGGCTCCCTTCCCCGAGAGAAACCAATGCTGCACTTCACTCTAAAGTTTCCCCTGCCAGTGAGCCTGGAGTTTAAGTGGTTTATGACCAAACACAGCTGTCTTGCTGCTGGCTAAAGGGTGCATGGAAGGGGCGGTGCCAAAAGGAGAGCGCAAGTGGGAGGGAGAGAGAGAGCTACAGAGAGTTCATTTTGGATCTACAGGCATCTCTCCAGCTTTCTGCATACTAATTACTATATAGAAAACTATACAGCTAAGTAACAGGAAACGCCACCTGGATAACAATAAATTGGATTCCTATTTCCCTATTCCTGTGTGCAATTAAGTAAGGAAAAATGAGGGGCTGTAGGAGGTGGGGGGTTGTAATGATTTCAAAAGGTCAAACAAAGTAAGCCTAAAAGCACCATTAGAATGCTGCAGATTTTACAAAACAGACTGACATTTTACAAAGGGTTCAGGATATGCTACTAGAAGAAGGAGAGAAAAAAGCATTTCCTTTCAACATTCTGCTATAAATAGAGGGAAAATCCTTAATAAATTGGATTTGTGGACATGCTATACCCATTACAAGAAATGACAACTCCTTTTCCCCTTTCCTCAGCTCCCTAAAACACAGTGACATTCCCACACACTTTTTGATTGGATTCTGATTTACTCTTTGAGTCAGATGTAGGAAACACAGTCCTCTGCAGCTGAAATTTATCTGACCATCTTAATACAATATATTATTGAAGTGCCAAATTAGTTCAGAAAAAAACCCCAAATATAAGAGTCAGGAATAAATGCTATACAAGCTGTGCCACTATCCCTGCACTCTGGCAAAAATATTTTCATGGGAAACAACGTACTCCAAGAGCAACATTTTGAAAATAACCATGTGAGTTTTTTTTTTCCTTTCTCCTCTGTTAGTCACAAATTAGTATCAGCATGCAGACACAGGGATAATTCACCCCAATTCACTACAAGAAGTGCTTTAAGATCTGGAATCCAGAAAACCACACCTATATTGCTCTATAGTGCTGCAGACTCATTGCACATCCTGGGTCCCTGTCCTTCCTCCATGCCCAGCACCAGGAACTGTAACACTCCTGTGGCTCACAGGGTAACAAGAATGCCACAATCTCATTCCAAGATGTTTCACTTTCATCCTTCAGGGGTCCAGTTTGCTTTAGCACAGTCTGTATTTTGGAGTTTCCTGTCCTCTTCTCATGCCCACTTTGCACCACCTCCACTCTCCATGTTTTCCCCATCGAGTGCATCCTTCCTGTCCCATCTTCACATTCAGGTCTGTGTATATTCCTCCTTATTCATCTGCTTTGTTTTCCCGCATATGTTTCCAGTTATGGCCCCCCGAAATCCTGGCGAAGGGCTGCACTGCTCTCTGCTGGCAGAGGGACGGTGTCTCACGGCACAGACTGTGCTGTCCCCTCCAGTGGGTAGGGAGCCAGGGGAGCGCAGGCTCCTCCAGACTGCAGCACGGGAACAGCATATCCACAGCAATGCTGTACACTGATCTCCTGTACATTGAAGTGTGATAAAGAGGGATCTGTACCCAGAAACAAAGGTGCTCTATAGTGACTCAGCACATTTTTCATAGATAAGTTAAAACCCAACAACTTCCATTAAAACTTCCTGCAACTGACACAGTACATTTAAAAATCTTTTATCTTTTCAAAACTAGGCTTTCAAAAACAAGGTAGTCTTTCGTATTTTGTATCACTACCCATATTAAATTTATTTTCCTGTTTATAATCTGCTCTGATCCTATCTTCATCCAGTTCTATCACATCTATCACAGGCTTACCAGCACAGAGGTGAGCCTCAGTATTAATACTAAGAATAAAGTTCTGAAGTTTTTCCTTTTCTAAAGGAACTCGTATTAATTATGGGTTCAATAAACAGCACTTACCATGCTCTATCCCTATCCTGCCAAATACTTCCCTGCTGACTCTGAACAGGCATTCAGAAACTAGGAGTTCTGATTTATTTTCTTCAAAACTCACCATTGTTTGTCCATTTCTGGCAGAGCAGCCATCAGACCAGAGCACATGGTACTACATCCCAAGCAGGACACTTCAGGATCTGAACTAGATCCACTCAGCATTCTACACCTATGCTGCACAGAATTTTTTCCTGCCTTTTTCCTACTCTATGCAGTTACATTGTTGAAAGAAACAGAGACTGTTTCTTTCAACAACATCAGAATTCACACACAGAATTAGGCACAGCTTCAGTTGTGCCTAAGAACCTGGGAGATACATGCAGGTACTTTCAGAACAAAGTTTGTTTAACATTTAAAAATTAATTCTAACTCATGTGCAGATGAATGAAATGGTCAAACCAAACTCTGATATGAAATGATTTTACTTTAACCCCAGACAATTCCCACTGCAACCTCTGAATACTTGCACTGCGTGGCACGGGATTAGACATTTCTCAGTTGGAAAGCATAAAACGTTAACTAACTCATAAAAACTGGCAACACTTGTTTAAACATCCTTATAAACTGTGCAGGCATTTCTTTATTGTGGAGGGCTAGCATAGACTAAATGTAATAATTCTTCTAAAATAGTTACTATTATATCACATTTTGAAAACAGGAGCATCAAGAACGTATCCTGAACATCTGAAGATGTAGAACTAGTTCCTGTGTGAAATGTCATTATTGTCTTGCATTTCTCCATGTCCACTAACTAACCAAATGAAAATGTTACATCCCGAAATGAAATTCCCTGATAGACTTGGCCACCTGTCTGCAGGCTGTTTCACCACTTCCAAATACAGGTGAGTGACTTAATACAACAGCAGGGTACTAAGAGCTTTGTTTAAGCCAAAGTGTATTTTCCCACTGGCTTGCGCCAAAGGCAGGCTTCAAAGTAAATAAAAGAAAACCTCAAGTATGCCAATTGTGTTTTGCCAGGAAATGAACAGAGCACCCTGTGACCCAGTGAGAGAGGGGCCTGTTGGACTCAGTCCCTCTGTGTTGTCTGGCAGCTGACTGTTCATTCTTTGTCTTGGTGACTCAGTTCCCTGCCTAGAACAGCAATGCTTCCTTGCCCTCAGCATTGTTCCTGCCTCCTTTTTTAGCCTCTACAGGCAGAGAGGGGGTTGGACTGGGAGTGGGAAGAAGAACCAGATGTTTCTTAGCCCAAGATTACACATTGTCAGTGGATGCCTCGGTGTGGAAGTAGGCAAAAAAGATGATGGATAAACCTGACTAGGACAGAAGCTTCAGAAACAACATCCACCGCATACTGTCTGAGACAGAGATGCTGGCCTGGGCTTCCACTCAGTTGCAGGGCATTTCTGATCCATTACTGTCTTATGTATCTCTAAAGCACTCATGGTGCACACACTATTTGTGATAAATGCATTTGCACTGACAGATTCTTCCCAAAATAATTTCAGAATTATGCAGCAACAAACATTAGTGTGGCCAGTTTGCTGATTGTTGAACTAATAATCCTATGGCCACTCTATTCCATTTGTTTACTCTCATTCAGCTGCAGAAAAAGAATCACTGACATATGTCTGAAATTCACTGAGGATTTCTAGTTTATTGATTGTATCTGAATAAGCATTTAATAAGATTTGCTGTGAAACTTTTATTTTGAGACAAGTGACAACTCCATCACCTCATCTGTACTTCTGAAAGCACCACAAAATATGCCAAACACTAGCATTCTCTTTATTTTATAAGACCTCTCCCTCATAATATGTCTCACTAATTACAATAATCTATTTACTTAGAGTTACTGGAGCAGGTGTCACACTTGGCATACATGAATATTCCTTCCTTGTTTGAACAGCTGTAGAGTAAAAACTACAGCATAAAAGTAATTATCTACTAAATACGTGCATGTCACATATTCTTCAGCATAGTGTGTGCCACCTTCTGAGAAGCAGTTTCACTCTGCATGCAACATGCACCATTAGCTGATCACGATTCCAGGATGTATGAAATAAGGCTTGCTTGGTTGGTTGTGTTTAGTTAGCCCTGTAATTGAAATGCAACTAATTGAAGTCCACTGAGCATTCAGTTCCTGTTTGTTTGTTTCAATATCACCCCTACAGTTACAGCAGCACTCTGCACAATCCAACACAAATCACACCCGTAAGTACTGCAAACCTACCACAATTTGAGTACAATTTTTTTTTCTTTCTCATTCTTGCACAAAACACACTGGCATAGTGCCAAAGTCCAAATGTCCATAGAGAAAATAGCACTCAGGTTAGTATGAAAGCTAAACTTGGAAGCAGAGATACAATACAATATATAAGTTGGATGGATAATGTTTCCAGAAAATTCTTTATTCAATAGCACTAATGCACCATGATTTAAGAGGGAGAGGCTGAAAGGGATGGTAGGTTCATGATGCAAACTGTTCTCATTAGTGACAATAAAGGTTATGCACATAGGTTGAGAGAAAAAAAAACCAACTCATTTGAAACAATTGGAATTAACCTTACACTGAAAAATGAAGCACTGTCTCTGAAGAAAACATGAGCAAATATTTATTCTTTCCTTCAATCAAACCATCTTGATTAGTCTGAAACAGATAATATGTCTAAGAACAATGTAATTACAAAACAGCACTTTAATCAGCTACTCTCACTTGTTCACCCTTCCTCAGCTACTCAATCCACTTAAAAAGTCATGTCCTTGACCTGACCAGTCTCCTTGGGAGTTCACATTTCATCCCTCTTTCCATCCTTCAGTATTTTACACCATGAAGCCACTCACCAACCTGTCAAACAAACACTATCATTTCCTGACATTTCATCCAAACCTATCACATTAATTTGTATTCCCACTGACCCCACAGAGCCTCAGCACCAGGTCAGGACAGGAAAAGGACTAGGAGTCAATTTGTGCCTGTTATTTATGGTGGTGACTTGTCTGTGAAGACAAGGAGAGACAATAGCCATTTCTATGTCACAGCCACCTAATTATCATCACTTTATTTGCTCCTTGCTTAGAAATACCAACAAGGCCATTCTGTAAACTACAATTCATGCCATCATACTTCTGCTTAGCGTCCCTTCATAGTCCATAATTCTTCCAGTTATTAACCACAAGGAGATTCA